ATTTGAAACTGGAGAATAGTTTCATACCTTCGCTTAATATCGCCTTGGATGACTAATATTACGAAATATTCAAGATTGAACACACTTATTCTCTATCCTTCACATTTATTAATTGCCTTTTAGTGAACCGATTTTAGTGGCCCAAGACATCAATTAATGCCATTTCAGTGTCTCTGAGGTATATGAATGTGTATTCTCTAGTGTGCGAGTCCTAACGGGTGGTGGCGGGAGTTTCGACAGCCAGATCGAGTTCTATGGGAGAGTTCTAGCGGCTGGCTGTTTCGACTGGTAGTCTTTCGAGGTTTCTCTGATCAATACCAGGCCAATGCCGGAGCAGTATATTTACAAAATGGCCTTGGAGAGCTCGCGATCTTTCCTTCCTCTTACTTACCCTATATTTATCCCTCACATGCACTACACTACTACACATGCCGGGAGATACGTCGGGAGCTTAGAGCTTATCCCGGCTGAGGCGGAGTCGCGCCAAAGGGAGATACCTCGTTGAGGAGACACAAGCGGGCGTGTACGTCAGTGTGAAATCTCGCCATCCAGCGGGTTATCATTGTCTATTCCCGCGATAAAAACATGTATTACACTTACACGACTAATGACCTTCGAGGTTGACGCGCCTGGAATCACTAATCAATCTTTTCAGGAACCAGGGGGTCTGAAAATCTGGGGCTCTGAACATCCTCTTAAAATCATTTTTCATATTTTTCTCAATTTATTCAGAGTAATTAAAATATATAGATTCAGATGGCCGAGATTGCTAAGGCTGTAGTGACGACCTCTAAATGGGATCTCCCTGAAATATTTTCTTGATACGCCCCTAATCTCTTTTCTTTCCATTTTTAACGTCATTCCTCTTTCTCTGTCGTTCCCTTCTTCTAACCTCTCGTTTTCATTGTAACATTCACTAAATATTTATTCCATTCATTCTATATCTCCATGCGTTTCTTTCTTCTTTCTTTCTCCACTTTTACTTTCTCACACTTACTAACGTTAGAAGAGAAATATTTGTAATCGTGCGCCGGAAAACGGCAAATATTTGTTCTACTCTTTTCTCTCTCCTCTTTCCTCCTCCTTTCTTCTGTCCCTCTTTATCTCTATCACAAGCCGTCCCTCTCTCATCTACGTCACACACAATACACACGCACATATCTACTCACTAGCTCTCTCTCTCTCTCTCTCTCTGTCTCTCTCTCTCTCTCTCTCTCTCTCTCACACACACACACATACACACACACACACACACACATTCAAGCGAACATACTACTCCCCAGCTGCATCGATACGCATATAAACATGAAGCGAACTAGCGCCGGACACACAAACGGAGCCCGTGCACACGCCGCGTTCAAAGACACTGCGCAGCCCACGCAAACATACATACAAACAAGCAGCCCCAATTGCAGGCGGCGGCGCCGCGGCGGCCGGCCGCTGGCATTCGCAGCGCGGGAGGCGCGCTGGCCGCGGCGCGCTGCGTTTCCGGCGCGACTGCGGCGGGGGAGGGGGATTGTGGCGGAGGAGGCGGCGGCGGCGGCGAACAGTGGCCCAGTGCACCAATCTCCTGCGCGCCGACTGTGCCTCAGGAACCCAGATTGAGTGGCTTTGTTTCGAGGTGCCAGTGTATTCGTAGACTGGACAAAAAATCTCCGCTCTTTTTTGCCCACCTCCGCCCCTCCCCGCCCGACCACTTCCGGAGCATCCGCGAGTCTCCCCACTCCGTTCTACCCCTCTCCTTCCCACGCTGTTCTACCCCTCTCCTCTCCACTCCGTTCTATCCATCTTCTCTCCACTCCGTTCTATCCATCTTCTCTCCACTCCGTTCTATCCATCTCCTCCTTATCCCGTTCTATCCATCTCCTCTCCACTCTGTTCTACCCCTCTCCTCCCCGCCTCGGCCTGCAACCATTTCCAAAATGGTTTGAAGAGGATTTTCAGCAAACTGATTCTTGGATTTGCTAGTCAATTATGTATCTAAAACGTATTCGGATTTATTATCTTTTAATTTCGATTTATTCTTTTTTTATAAATTTATAATTATTCAGACGGTTATCTAGAGCACTAGTAGTTTTGATTTTAGCACTCACGCTACAAGAGATTAACATAAACATGCTTTAGGCACGATTCACTCCCACCCCAACTCACCCTCATACACATACACTTCTCTAGTTCAGTGTGATTATACATATTGCAATTATACGTTACTGCTAGACGACTTATGTTGCAGCCATAGCCATATGCCCCACTTGTTGGTATCATACTGTATTGACTTCCGTACTTTCGCACGCTGACATTGCTGCACTCGTATTTACCTTACAATTTGGGATTACGATTTTCAGAAACGGATACTTCCACGGTATGATTGGGACACAGGTTTTCAATTTTATCATATTGCATATATTGCCTGTAGTTAAGGAAAGAAAAGGAAGTACTACAGAGCACCGTTTAGAAAAAGTTGAAAGAAGATTTTGCTCATTTTATTAAAAACTCAGCAGGCGACAGTATTAGTAGCTATTAGCAGCTTTCCTCCTACCCTAGACACACATTGCGGAAGAGTGCCACAATTACGCATTTCTGCCGCCATACAAACAAATGCCTTTCGGTTATGCCTGGTTTATGAGTTATTAGAGACGGATATATGTGCTACACCCATTAATTTGAAGTGGATACTTCTAGCAGTGGATACCCAGCGTGGATACTTCTAGCAGTAAAAGTCGGTTACATGCTTCGAAAGAAAATTCTTACACAACATTGTTATATTGAAACAGACGTTCCTTACAGAATCATTCGTTGAGATTCATTATCTACTTGGTATAAAGTGACAGTACTCAGTTATAGAGAAATTTCAGTAACCAGATTTGTACACGACAACTGTTGTACGAGGAAGAAATATGGAAGAAGAAATAGATTTTTAATCTCTTCAACAAAATAGTAATTATAGTAACGTACTTGGACCAAAACGTGGCGTATAAAAATCAATGAGACCAAGTCATATTCTATGGTATTATTAGGATAAACTGAAAAGTTCCAGCGGCAAGTGCAACGAAATACTTAAGTATGGCTTTGGATCCAAAGTTGCGTTGGCGGGAACAGATGGAAAACAGAGAGACTTAATAAAATGTACTAGATATTGGGATCAGACATTAACTTAGTTCTGTTAATATTAACTTAATTAACTTAAAATACATTTAAAAATAATTCATTAATACTCCAATAGGTACTAATGCTGTATTGAACGAATCATACTCAGCCATTGAGCTGCACAAGAAAAGAACACAATACATGTCATGATAATGGGCAAAACTATGTGTCGATTCTTAAGCGAAAACACCTTCTGCATTGTGATATAATTTGATTGTTTGTTTCAGCTAACGATTAAAATGGTAGTAATATTAATTAATACATTTATAAATAAAAGATAATACATTTTATAAAATATAGATAATACATTTATAAATACATTTTTTGTTCGTGTAAAACAATATTACTAAAATTATTATGCACAAACAATCATATGCAATGAATTTCTGTATAACTCACTACACTTTTAAAATTCATTGCTATGAATATTACTTTAACTAGTAAAAAGTTCGTCGAATTAATTGTTTTTGTTCAATATATTCTGGCAATAAAACAATTTTATATACTGTTTCATCAGTAGGAAGCTATTTCTACGTTTTCCATGGCATTGTACGTATTTTTGTAAACACGAGCATTTAACTTTATCACTTACTGCTTTTTTAGGCATTGCAAATGTGTTCAATAGAAGATTCACACACCAATTTTATTTCTATTTTCAACCAATAGCAATTGAAAACCGATCAAATGCATCGTCCAAATTCTTCTGCAAAGAGTCTCGTTTTGATACACGTGCGCGTTGTATCGAAGGGCTCTAATGGTGAAATGCGCGTAAAATGAGTTCGCTCTTTCCTGAAAGTATGTCACTGAATGCGTGAATCAAATTCCCTGCGCTTTACCATACGCATTTTTAAAGAATATCTCTTGACTTCATTTTGTGAACTGCTTGCTAGTGAGTTGTTTTGCAAAACTTTGGAAATGTCGATTCGATATAATTTCAGAGATAATTATTAAGGAATATCTGCAGTGTTAAGGAATATATGCAATGCAGGCACCTCACTGTAAATACTAGTGAGAATTTTCAAAACAATGTTTGAGCTATATTAATGAGTACAATAGGTGCAGTGAAGACATGAAAATGACACTTTCTTATGAACTTGCCGATAACGCATTTGAAGTTATTAATATATTACTCCAAAATATTAAACAATTTCAAATCAAAATAACATATTTCTTTCCATGTAACATGAATGTTCACTGACTACTTGTCAATGCTGACGGTGAAAACTCAAAACGTGAATATGTCAGAAGCAGAACTATTTTTCACTCAATTCAGTAATGAGAAGTTTGAGCGATATCAAAAATCATTGAGAATCGGAAATATATTCAAAATAAAGAAATGAGAAACGGATATATATATTTTAAAAACCTCCAGGTTATTTGTATTGAAATATTTATTATTGGATTGTGATAAAAATAAAATAAATATTAAATATATTTAATTTCAGAACCAGGATCCTATCGAAAATATTCCTTCACTGTTTACAACATTTATTTGTCCTAAATGGACGAGAGAGCTTCGAAATTCAAAACATAATATTAGTACTTTTTAAGCAAAATGTAAATACTCCTACATTGAAGGCTAATAACTATATGTTGTTCTTCGTTTTAAATCAATTGGTGATGAAATATACAACCAAAAGTTTGGATTAATGACTATGAAGTATCTCCAAGCATTAATTAATACCATTTCATGTATATTATATACATTTAATAATAAACAATTAAATTAATAAATAAAAACTCTTGAATACAACACGCAGGTTTACTAAATAGTGGTCCGAGATGATCAGGAAGATTTCATTCGCCAAGTCCTCTCCCACCGCTCCACAGAATCAACAGTCGGTTAACTGCAGCCGCCGCTGCCAGCCCAGGGCGAGCGTCCGCGGGGGCCAGTGTTTACCCCGAACGCCGCCCGGCGCCGGCGCTGCTGGATTCGGTCGTCTAGATCGGCAAAATACCCCGCCGAGCGCCAGCGCGGGCAACGGCGGCGGTGGCGGCGGCGGCAGGGCGGTGCGGTTCGGGGGCGGGCGGCACTGCGTGATGGACGAGATGATTTTCGCGGGTGCGCCGCCGCCGCCGCCGCCGCCGCCGCCGCCGCCGCCGCCGCCGCTCGGATCGATGCCATAGCGCGCGAGTCAGCGGCGGGGGCGGCGGCGCCGAGGCCTGCTGGCGAAGGGGCGAGGCGCGCGAATAAACGCCTGGCGGGAGCTAATCAGCTCGGCGCTCGCGCTGCTGGGTCGGGTCGCCGCAGGAGGCTCTGCCGCTGGGGGTGTGCGGGCCGAGGCCCGGCGAGGGGGCTGGGGGCGGCGGTGGAGACGGTGACGGTGGAGGTGATGCCCATGTACGTGATTACTGTGAATGCACGGCGAGCGGGTAGAGTGACGGCTGCAGGAAGGAGCGTGGGCGGCATCGGAGGAGTAATGAGCATCATGGTGGCAACCATGATAACTGCAGCGGCAATGGGGACAGGTGAAGACCTCAAGAAGCAGCGGAGTCGCTCGTTGGCAAGTTGATGATGGCAGTCGGGATGACAGTAACGGCAAAGGTCATAGATCAGGGTGACTGTTGCACTAGAAGGAGCGGGTTCGGCGTCGGGGGAAGCAGAGACTCTAAAGGGGCGGAGTTGCCGCTGTGACAGCGGCAGTCGGCGCTGTGATAAGGGCGGAGGCGGCGCTGTGATAGGGACAGTACGCGCTGTGGTAGAGGCAGTCGTTTGCTGAAATGCACAGGGCTGTAGTGGTGAGGTCGAGGGTAGGCTAGTGTGAAGAGCATGGGGGAGGGGCGAGCGAGATCGTGGCGTGATGTGGGTGAAAGTGTCGATTCAGGGGGGGCGCGGGGGTCCGAGAGTGCTGGAAGAGGAATGATAGGGGCATACGGCTGTGATAAGGGGCAGTCCGGTCGCTATTTGAAGGCAGTGTCGGGGGTCGGAGGTCAACGTTAGGTCGTGGCGGGGTGGGCAGCGAGATCGTGGCATTAGGTGGTGACGAGTGTGTCCTGATCGGGCGGTGGGGACGGGGGGCGAGGATGGCGGAAGAGAATGATGGGGCAGTCGGCGCCTGTTGAATAGGGGAGTCGTGCTATTGAAGGCCAGTGTCCGGTCGGATGACAACTAGGTCGGTGGCGGGTGGTGGCAAGCGAGATCGTGCGTAGGGGGTAACAGTTCTTGATTCAGGGCGGTGGGCAACGGGGGTTCGAGATGGGCGGAAGAGGTAGATGATAGGGCAACGGCAGTGTGATAGCGGGCAGTCGGTGTGCTATTGAAGGCAGTGTCGGGGTCGGAGTCACACATAGTCGTGTGCGGGTGGGCAGCGAGATCCGTGCGTAGGGGGTACACCTGTGTCGTGATTTCAGGGCGGTGGCGAGGGGGTCGTGAGATGGGCGGAAGAGAATGAATTAGGCAGTCGCGCTGTGATAGGGGCAGTCGTTCTAATGAAGGAGTGTGCGGGGGTGCGTGAGGTCTCAGCTTAGGTCGGTGGCGGTGGGGCAAAGCGAGATCGTGGGGCGTAGGGGGTAACTGGTGTCTCGATTCTAGGGCGGTGGGCGACGGGTCGATGATGGCGGAGAGAGGATGATAGGGGCAGTCGGCGCGTGTGGATAGGGGGGCAGTCGGTGCATTGAAGGCAGGTGTCGGGTCGGAGTCCAACTAGGTCGTGGCGGGGTGGGGCAATGCGAATCGGGGTAGGGGGTAACTGTGTGCTGATTTGCAGGCGTGGCGACGGGGTCGAGATGGCGGAAGAGGAATGATAGGGGCAGTCGGCGCTGTGATGAGGGGCAGTCCGATGGTATTGAAGGCGTGGCCGGGGTTGGAGTTCAACTGGGTCAGGTGGGGTGGGGAGCAAGATAGTGGCATAGGGGGTACAGTGTCTGATTCAGGCGGTGGGCGACGGGGTCGAGATGCGTGAAGAGGAATGGATAGGGGCATCGAGGCGGCTGTGATAGGGGCAGTCGGTGCTAGTGAAGGGCAGTGTCGGGGTCGGAGTCAATAGCGTCGGTGGCGGGTGGCGGCAGCGAGATCGTGGCGTATAGGGGGTATGCAAGTGTCTGATTCAGGGCGGTGGGCGAACGAGGGTCGAGATGGCGGAAGAGGTGAAGTGATAGGGGGCAGTCGGCGCTGGTGATAGGGGCAGTCGTGCTATTGGAAGGCGTGGCGGGTGTGTAGTCATCTGGGTCGGTGCGTGGGTTGGGGCAAGGCGGATCGTGGCATCGGGGTAAAAGTTGTGCTGATTCAGGGCGTGGGCGATCGGGGGTCGAGATGGCGGAAGAGGAATGATGGGGCAGTACGTGTGATAGGCAGTCGGTGCTATTGAAAGGCGTGTCGGGGTCGAGTCATACTAGGTCGGTGGCGGGGTGGGGGCAGGGAGATCGATGGCGTAGAAGGGGGTAACAGCTGTCTTGTTCAGGCGGTGCGACGGGGTCGAGATGGCGGAAGAGGGAATGATAGGGGCAGTCGGGCTGTGATAGGGCAGTCGTGCTATCGTTTGAAGTGCGTGGCGGGGTTGTAGGGTGCACCTGGGTCGTGGCGGGGTGGGGCAGCGAGATCGTGCGTAGGGGGTAACAGTGGTCTGTTAGGGCGGTGGGCGGAAATCGGGGTCGAGAATGGCGGAATGAGGTAATGATTAGTGTGGCAGTCGCGCTGTGATAGCGGGCGAGTCGGTTGCTATTGAAGGGCCGTGGCGGGTTGTAGTCACTGGGTCGGTGGGCGGGTGGGCAGCGAGTCGTGGCAAGTAGGGGGTGAACAGTGTCTGATTCAGGGCGGTGGGGCGAAGGGGGTGCGGATGGCGAAGAGGAATGCATAGGGGGCAGTGCGGCGCTGTGATAGGGGCAGTGGGTGGGCTATTGCCGCAGTGTCGGGGTCGATCAACTAGGTCGGTGCGGGGGTGGGGAGGCAGATCGTGGCGTAGGGGGTAAGCAGTGTCTGATTCAGCGGTGGGCGACGGGGTCGAGAATCGGAAGAGGATGATAGGGGCGTCGGCGCTGTGCTACGGCAGTCGGTGCATGAAGGCCGTGGCGGGGTTGTAGTCAACTGGTCGGTGGCGGGTTGGGGCAGCGAGATCGTGGCGTAGGGGGTACATGTGTCTGATTCAGGGCGGTGGGCGCGGGTGGTCGAGATGGCGGTAAGAGGAATGATAGGGGCAGTCGCGCTGTGGTATAGGGCAGTCGTGCGGTATTGAAGGCCGTGGCGGGGTGTAGTCAACATGGGTTCGGTGGCGGGGGTGGGGGTCAGCGAGATTCGTGGTTGGGGGTAATCAGTGGTACTGATTCAGGGCGTGGGCGACGGGGGTCGAGATGGAGGAAGAGAATGATAGGGGAGTCGCGCTGTGATAGGGGCGGGTCGTGTGGCGTATTGAAGGCAGTGTCGTGGGTCGGAGTCAACTAGGTCTGGTGCGGGGTGGGCAGTCGAGATCGTGTCGTGGGGGGTGTAGACAGTGTCTGATTCAGGGCGGTGGGCGACGGGGTCGGAGATGGGGGAAGAGGAGTGTCTGTTGGATGGTATG